AAAAGATGCGTATTCTTTGAAATGTAATAAACCAGATTAAAATGTCAAAGACTACTCCCGTACTCTGTAAATACATTAAAGCACTAAATAGAAAATGTTAATAAATTAATAGAATATGGAAATTAGCGGCCTAATCTTTAGCGCCATATGATAATGACGTCAGGCAACTACGACAGGCAACAAGTCTAAACGCAATTCCCCAAGACAGATCTCAACCGCTGGTAATAAACGAGTGTTATAGCAAGTGCCACGTTCACAAAACGATTAAATCGAATAGGAACCTGGAGATGTTAACGGTAAAACATGTATTAAAATTAGGTATAATCACACTTACCAGTATTAACTGTACCTTTACCACGTGACACCGATTTCCATTGTATCTTAACTACGTGACACTCATGGCACTGGATGCTAACCACACGTGACATAGATTTTCACATTAACATGATCACGTGATACTCATGGTCACTGGACTCTTACTACATGACTGTCTTATTCACTACCAAATTCACTTGATACTCATATAAACTCGAGGAAGCACATAATACTACACCGTGTTCAGCCAGAGTGTTACATTTAGCTCTCATCTGTCATCAATACTTTGGTGCAAACTCCTTTTTATTTCAAGACTTTTTTTCAATAAATAAATAAAAGTAGAATAAAAAGAGAAAATTGAAACTGACATGCTAGCGTAGTGATAACTCCATGATTTCTGGTTTCTTATCTTGTATGACTAAACTAAATCAAAAACGTTTGCGCTAGATGCATTGTACATTGTATTATCTAGTTTCCATTGTTGAGGCACGTAATGGCATTTCATTACTTGCGTTATTGACTATGTTTTTATTTATGATAATGTCTGATCCTGTCTTGGCATGCATCAACCATGAAGGTGTCGATTGATTTAAATGTCCTGTCCATGTCTCATGTGTTAACTATAGGATATCTGAATACAGTGACCACTTGTTTTGTCTGCTTAACGATATCAAGACAGAACCTGAGGTGCTGCATAATACTCCTTCCGGGATCGGCCTAGGTGTCCACTTGTACTTGTACCCTGTATCAGTCCTGCATTGTTCTATTTCTCGGGCGATGCTCTCATTAAATAGTGTAATATGTTTTCAAGGGAGTAGATTATACACTGTTGTTAATCGATTGATTCTTCATAATCCGGTAGAACCACTTTACATCCGTGATCAACACGTGTCAACAGCTCTGGTTACTTTCACCAACTGACATTTGTATAATGAAATATGAAATTTGAGACGGGCTTAAAAGCTGTCTAGCTAATATACACGACGCCAGAGCGTCTACGTCACTTTGCAGAAAAGATCCATTTTCATAATGGCAACCGTGCAAAATTTGGGGATGGATGGTCGCAAGGAAAGTCACCATGGTCAACTTTCTCATAGTGGGTTGCAGCGCAAATGTTAATTTATGAACATTACCAGCAGAAATGCATTTCATTTGACTATGAAAGCAAAACCTCTCGTGACGTAACACGTGGGCTACTTATGACGTCGTAGATTAACCTTGTTTAGTGAGGGTCTTGTCGCTTCGCTTCGGATAACATGGAACGAATTATTTAAGAACAAATGAGTAAAATTCAATAATTTCTCTTTGGTGAAAATGTAAATATATGGATTGAACGGCGTTTATTTTAATTTTCATACTGGTATGAACATTTTAAAAAAGACGTCCAATCCCTATATGAACCAGAGAAGATTCAACGTTGAGCATGTCTCCAGGAACTAGGTATATATATATATACAAATGTAGTGCAGATTTGTAGATACCAGAAGTAGATTATCGATATGGGATATCCAGTAAGTAGCTGCAACGTTGTATCTCGACTAAAAATATTGTTGTTGAATATAAAAAAGTAATCTGAGTCGGCATTACGAAACACTGAATGGATAAATAATATTTTGGTTTATGATTTGTTTTCCCAATCTGAGAGTTCATATAGAGAGTGATATAAATGAAGCTGACGGGTATGCTGCGTTCTTGTTTATGATGTTTTCTGAAGTATCACTTTTCAGATCTATAAGAAATGTATTTGATTACAGTTGGACTTAACACTGAAGTTTGAGATGGGTCACAAACAAATGAAATTAACAAAAGGGCATTTCGTTCTTCTGTCTAACATATAGGACACATCATGTAATGTTTATGTACTCTGGTTTCTCATTCCTCGAGAGGAATGAATTATTCGACACCCAACAACCGAATTTTCTGATGACTGATTCAGTTGTAACTAACTCTTTTGTTTTCCTCCGACAAATTAAGTCAGGTTCAGCAATGATCAACAACCATGGCCACCCTCTGACGGTGACGCCCCTGTATAATTGACATTAATCCTAATGTAAGGAAGGCATGTTTTATCTCGGCCACGTTAATGACAAAATGATCGCCCGAGTCAGTCAATGAATCTATTCACTACGACTTTGTAGGCTGCCTGGTTCTATGTACATCGCTCTTAAAACAGAAATTACGTGTCGCATTAATAGGTTTTATCTGATTTAAACCGGAACTTCCGTGCAGTCAATTAATTTCAGGTGCAGGTAATGAACTTTGATCCGGATTTGAGTCGATTGATATCATCTCTGAAGGCGTGATGTTTGACCGAACATTCCCACAGGAGTGGTAATGTAGCTTGTATTCCAAGTGAAGCATGTTACTTCTAAAAGTAAGAGCAGGTGGATGATTACGATCTACACATCCCTTTCGTATTCTCTATTTGTTTTAAGTTATTCGTTAAACGTTTCAAATAACTCAAATTGATTCGTTATAGTGTTCAGTGTATTAATGAAAGATGGCGGGATGCATCATATGTCCCTAATGTTAACACCTGCTTGCCACGAGGGGTAGTAACGAAGCTCAGGGTATTTAATCTATTTATGCGCAGTTCAGCATTTTCCTCTTCTCGGGAATCAGACTCCGCATTCATCATAGTGATTTATACCAATGTATGGTTAGATTGATCCTTTTTAATGACCCACTAAATAAAACTACGATTATGAAGATAGATACAAAATCCTTGTATAGAGAATTGTTTGACCTGATCACCATTAATTAGACTATTTATATACATAAAATTTATCACAAATTCAGAAAATTCCTTCTTTTTTAAAATGAACTTGGTTTGTCCTTGTCTATTTGTGATGTGGTACCTTTTATCTATTCTGGGCAGCTGCTGTGTTTTATTCATACATATATTTAAAGAAAAAGATTTGCAGACATTTTTACAATAACCAATTTATTAAAGACGTTGGGGAAGATGACGTTTGATATCCCTTGAATATAAGTTGTGATAAGATAAATCGGTCTCGTTGTAATAAGTGATATTTGATGTAAATTCTTGCTGCTATGACAATAAGCACGATTATTCTACACAAGAAAGGTTGTCAGATATCATTACTCTTCAAGTAAACAAACAAATGGATGTTTAATTCAGCATTAAGAAGGATGAGTCAAAACCGTAGTATGCTGACATTGAAAATCCTAAGATCATATTCCGAAATAGGATATAGTTTTTAATGTGTATAGTTTATGGATAAAATAACGCTATCGGAATAGCAGGAAAAGGAGACCCGAGTTTTGCCGCTTTGGGTTTTGTAAGTGATCAGTCTGGATATTGAGCCGGCTCCAGGTTCTTTTCTTTGAGCTAAATGAGGAAATAATTCCTTTGATATTCGACGGAAATAACTTTATTGACATAAATCAGTTTTCTATTAATAACAGGAAATCTGGGTTTGGCCAAATGGTCTTTATCTTGTGACTAAGATTAAAGCAAAACTGTAGGGCTAGAGTTTGTGATGCGTGTGTTCCACAATATATAGCATCAGAGTGTTGTACAAAATCCAACAAATGAAAGACGAGCTTGCATAGCAATGGGTTTACAAGGCCTTTGGTCAAGGCTAAATGTTAAATCTTGCATCCGTTTCACAGGATTTTTGTTACAAAATCATGACAATACCATTCTAAATAAAAAGTAATTTGTATATATAAATATATAATTAACTCGTGTACTATGTTGTACATGTAACAGAAGTTAATGATTTTATGCACACACAAACAAAACAATTAGGAACGGAATGAATATTCATTACTTATAAAATAAAGAATTTATTTGAATACTGCATACTGATTTAATTTTCGAATACATTGTGTGCCATTGAAATACCAAACTCTTTCCTGCTCTTTCCGAATGCAGTCTCGGATAATTTTTTCGCTATATATGAAACATGCTTTTTAAGTGTTCGATTCGCATATCTCTTACAAATTAGGCGAGAGAGAAAGAGTCAAGCATTATGTTGGTGTGACGGATATGGAAATGCTATGCCCAACATTTTATATTCGTGTGTAGAATTTGTTATCAGAAAACTTCTGTTCTGGTCAAAAATTCTCTATTCGAGTGTAGAATTTGTCACCAGAAAATGCTGATCTCACAAAAATTCTATATATTCGGGAATAGAATTTGTCATCAGAAAACTTCTGTTTTGTCCAAAATTCTTCATTCGATTGTAGCATTTGTTATCGGAAACTTCGCCTCTGACCAAAATTCATCATTCGTTTGTAGAATTCGTCATCAGAAAACTACTATTCTTCCCATGAAGTTGTAATCAGAAAGCTTCTGTTTGATCAGAATTCTATAGCCTATTGTTGAATGTTCATATACCCTTACCTATATATGATATGCCTATGTTTCTCCCAAACAACACAAACGGAACAATTACATGCATTATTTCTGTTCATATTATACGTTGTACGTTAAACTATATACGTTACATATCCACTGCATTTATAATAATAAGATATCTGTATTCACGTTTTGATGACTGAAGCTGTATCAAAGTACAAAACATGATATTTGATTAAGAGACTTCTAGGTACATATGTATTCCCTATTGTGTTGTTAAATATAAAAATAATGGAGTGTTGATGTGTCAGTGTTGCTGCTGCACAATTGGTAATTCTGAGTCATTTTACCTTTCCAGGTGACGATCTCGGATACTCAGATTCAGCCCTAGCCACCCTTCAAAAAGTAGAACGGTAAGCGATTCTCATTCGTTCCTTGTTATAAAATCACCAGTCACACTATTTATTAAGAGTTGGCTAAGAAAACTTGAAAGTTGGTCTTCAAACTTCCTACAGTATACTTACACTTAAACCGTTGTTATCACAAATCAAAACAAGATATATTCAATATTGTCGCAATATTAACCGTTACGCTATCAAATGTACCAACGTATAGCCATAATATAACATCGATAAAATTAACTTAAAATCTAATAAAAAAAACTATCAATCTGAAACAAAGTCAAAATTCAATGTAAATTTCGAAAATAGTCATTGCCTTTTAAAACCCGGCCAACTCAGAAATGTAAGTGGTACCTGTACTCATGACAACAAGTAACACGTGAACCACCGCCTACTTAGACATTAAGTATGTCGATACAGGACGCCAGACACACTTTTCACTACGCCATATGGCCACTTCGTCTGTTTAGGAATATCACTGGTGATACATGTATAAGTTAAAACGGTAAAAAAGTGAACAATGCCAGAAGTGTTCCGAATCATATGCATAATTACAGCGAAAGGAAACAGCACTATAAACCTGTGTAACGGTACATATTACGTCGTTTTTGTCTGCAATCGGACAAGCCTAGTTCGTTTGTTTTACGTTCATTTTTACATGTCCGGACTGGAATCTCGATTTAAAAAAAAAATCATTGCCTAGTATTTATTTGCAGAATTACAAAAAGTAAATAATAAACATGTTAAGAAACACAACAATTACTATGTCAAAACAAGACAATCCAACACAAAGAGTAAAATTCAGACAAATGGATTTTGCTTTGCCTATCTTCACAGTTTAACATATATCTACTGACACAGACATTTTACTTACATTATATAATTGTAGTAACAGGAAATGAATTTAGGATTCACATCTTATTGCGAAATGACTTTCTCTGTGTCCCAATGGTCGTAAAAATCAAATAATTAATATTAATTAAGCAAAGCCTCGGGTCTCCTGCTCAATATTTCATCCCGGCGGTGCTGAAAAATTATATCCGACCCACGGGTCTAGATCGATTACACGCACAGACTGACGGGGGAATTATAGTGACCTTTCGGGGTCAAGCTATTGTTCGTGACGTCATTTTATGACGTTTTGGGGTCAGTCAGTGTCATTGACGTCACAAGCAATTGCCATCCGGGCCCCCCATGCAAATGAGAAATGTGCGGACAGTTTACAACTTTACTAGAAAAGCAGCTGTTTGTTTCGGGTTTTAGGTAATAAACAAGAAATAGAATCCATCCCTGATGTGAGGTAAGGATAAGGTTATTCAAACCCTCGGGATAACATATTGAGCAAAATACCCTCGGCAAAGCCTCAGGTCTCCTGCTCAATATTTGAATAACATTATACATACCTAACATCAGGGATGGATTCTATTAGTCACCCCTAGGGAAAGATAGGCTCGTTTCGATAAGCACGTGTTTAATTGCGACGTCATTAAAATGCGTCACCGATAATTGTAACGTCATCAACAGTGAATGACGATATTCATACCCCACATGTGTTTTTGTTTATAATGCTGTCGGTGGAGTTGTGACTGAAATAATAGAATGGGAGAAAAATAATAATCACCTACCTTAAGTGTTTAACAGAGAAATCTTTAACCCACTGGGTGATTTTTTGGGTTGTCTAACCCTCGGCAGAGCTTCGGGTTAAACCACCAAAAAACATCACCCATCGGATTTGAGATTTGTCTGTCACACCCTCAAGGTAGGGGAAGATTCTATTAATCACTAGTCAATAGATATATATTGCTAATTTTGTTCAGACAAAAATATACTCAATGTTTATGAATTATGTAATATACCAAAACGATGCTTTCAAAAATGTACTCTTTCTGGTCCAAACAATATGCACTCGAACAGATTTGATTCAAAATGGTTACAAAATGGTTATTGGGTATCAATATGTATAATTCTACTGTCTCTTTTAATAACACAAAACACTATCTTAAGTTATCGACCAAAAACCTTTGTCGTAGGCGCTATACAGGCCGCCGTAAATATAACATTTGTTTATCGTGCAATACAGATTGGGATAGATTCATGGTCTTACCGCCAACAGAATGTATTTCACCAATAACAAAAGTATACACTTTGAATGGCAGCGAGGCAGACAATTTACTTCATTTGGAAGTAAATTGGAAACATTGGCAATTCTTTTATATCATAAACTTCCTGGACTCAATCTTAAAAACCCTACAAACCATATACAACGAAATCGATGCAATTTACTTTTCAATTTTGTATCAGCAAAATACAAGGAACCGTTACACTTCCTGAAATTTTCGTTAACAGATAACCGATAAAGGACAACAACTCACGTGTATAGTTTTACATTTGAGTGACTTTTTTACGTGGGTTTGTTTGATATTTAGAATGGACTTACATTCGAAATTGGAAACGTTTGGCAAGACAGGATACGGAATGACAATAGCACTTTCATGTCTGTCTCACAATCAATCGTATTCCTTTGCGCGACTGTGAAATTATCAAGTTAGCTGCGACGCAAATATTAAAAAAGGTATGAGATAGCATTATTCTATAATGTATTTTACATATTTATGAAAAGTTATCGTCCTATTAATACAAAAGAAAATATATCGCAACATTCACAAAGTAGTCGAGTGGCAGAATAACTAAAATTAAACGTTTGAAGCGATCGAAAGTAATCTCGTTTCTTCAGCCGATATATCACTTAACAAGGATGTACACATTGGTCAATTTATTTTTAAATTCTAGATAATAGATTTGTTTATTATTTTGCAAAATACAAATTTATAAACCAATAATTGCTGTAAGATTTTATACAAATATCAATTCTGTCACACAGAAGGCTTAGCCAAGACTGTGCCATAAGTGTATAGAAATATTACTAAATTGCAAGACAGCTTAACGTGAAACCTAATGTTATAGGATGTTATAGACACCTTCCCTTTTCGCTGTATTAGATATATATCTAGGAACACAAACAAAAAGCCTATATAAATATACAGCATATAGGCTGTGAGGAAATTCGATTTCAGTTATTTATATTTTGTCCTTACCTGGGATAACCAATAAAAGAAATTGAAGACTTTTTTCAAATGAGGTCTCTAAAATTGATCACGTGACAGTTGTATGATATGTGTAAAATATTATCCTGAGATATCAATATTTAAAATAAGAACCGTGAATATTTAGAAGCTGTGTTTCTGTATATATTCCACGAAACTATAAAAGAAAAAGAAAAAGAAATCCGTTACAAGTAGATAAATACAGAGTCGACGACTGTTCAAAATCTTACATGTGTTCCAATGGGATCATTCTGGCATTGTTTTCAAAGTCAATGTTTTATTGACAATAAACTTTGTTCAGAATAGATATGAAAGTTATTGCGTATCATTTGAACTTCTTTGAACATTCTTTGAATGCTTTAAATAGCATGGTCATCATAATGGCAACCAATGCTTTAAACAGCGGGGTCCTGGGGTCCTCTTAATGGTTAAACACGCGATAATATAACTGTGATTGAAACGATCGAGTCCTCCTCAACACTAACTTGCAGTGTTATTAACAGTTAGGTCCATATGATGTCTCAAATAGAAATACTTGAAATAAATATTCTTTCCTGACGGTTAAACTATTAATAATTTGAATAGCTGTTTTTCATCTAATGCTATTGTAAACTTAATGGTAGACCAGCAATGGATTAAATAACTATGTTCCCTTGCTAGTTGCAACCACTGTGTCTTCCTAATAGCTAACATTGCAAGGCTTTGAATACATGAATTTTGCAGTTATAGACAGTGCAGTTGTTCACAAACGAGAGCAAATTATATAACCAGAGGCGATATAATCGTATCATTTTTAAATAAGGCCGATTTATCTCATAAGAGCGACAGTTAATTCAAATCTACGACATCTCGGCAGCTTAAATACCATAGTTCTATGGCTAGATAGCATTTCAGCCTGCTATTGTGATTGTAACATCGTGGAGACGGTATTCTGGAGGAAAATGCTTGAAACTAAGTTTAATCCGGAAATAGGAAAATGCAGATATCCGAATTTATTTAAAAAGTTAGCTCATAACCGGAAAATCCAAAGAGTTCGGGTCCTAAATTGGGGAAAAAAGAAGGTTAAGTCCACACATGGATTTTTTAAAAAGAAATTTTGTCTTAACTGGCAATCCAAAGAAGGAAACACCTCACAAGAATGTACAACTTGACTAACGAAACATGCATCAGAGATCGGAGTATTTTTTTATTCAAAATAGTCACAGAAATGAGTCGTGAGGAAGAACCTATTCATAGATTTAGTGTGTTGACGCACCATGTCGTTGTTTTGTCCATTTAGGACCCATGAATGGTAGCATTAATCATATAAAAGGAGTTCAAAAAATACGTAAAAATGTAGCAAAGGAAAAATGTGTCCATAAAGTCCTAAGTTACGTTACAAATATACGACTTTTACAACATTGATTAAGCAATATATCATGAATAGTACCATCTTCAAGATTACGGCCAAATTCAGGGCTAAGAGTCTACCAGCAGTCAACTACCTTATTATATAAAATAGACACTTTTAATTAAACATAAGAATGCACCTATTTAAAAATGTAGATTCAGATAGCTAAGCTACATGTATGTTAATATTTGCTGCAACATACGGCCATTGGGAAAAGTCATCCTTGTGACACTCGTTCACATTCATAGTAAAGCAAGTCTGTTGAATATTTATTTCACGTTCATCATGAAATATGACTCGTTCGTCAAACTCTGTATTCAACATGTATTACATTTGTATTTGGTGTTTGCTATTGAAAAAAGACGCTATATTCAAGAACAATGTTTTGGTCGATCTCACAATCAACATATTCTTGTCAAACACAAATGTAAGATACTGTTTTACGATTTTTTCATGCAGCAGGTTGTACTGTCCAATGTAAGTATTGTAGTCACTACGGAACAAGCTTTACAGTACAACACATTATGAACAAAACCCTACTGAGTGCTTAAGATTGCCGGTGAATTCACGTTGAATAAAAATAGATTCATCCAAAGCTGCATTTGTTTGATACAGAAAAAAACCCACTTAAATATGTTTATGCTATTTTGTCTTCAAGCATAACTTTTTTTTTCAATTTGCAGACGAAATATAAGGCCCAGACGAAAATGCCAGTCCTGGCGGAGAAAGTGTGTGCCCTGGTCATCAGAGGCTCGAACCAGCTGCTGTGGTGGTCTGGCCTGTAAATGTAACCTCTGGATGCAAAACTGCAAATGCACCACAAAACTATGGGGGTAATGCCATTGGACCACAGGCAACAACCTTCGCAGTAGTCATGACAATACGCGACCCTAAAGTCGTCTTGACAACCTAGTAATCTGAAAGACGTGGAGGACTTGTCTTGATGAGGGCCCTTTTCAGAACTATTGTGGTGAAAATATGTGTCAATGCCTTTTTTGTTTGTATTCGTTCGGAAGAATGACGGGTGTGTTTAATATTTAAACATTCACTTGTAAATTGTATCGATAATAAAGAATATATTGTATATAACTGATGTTTTGTTTTTATTTTAGGCGTTGTATATATCACGGGAATGATTTTATTTTAAATGGACACATCACTCACAAATCAGACTGACATTTCACCAAAATTTATTTGCTGCAGTTTGGTTTCGAAAACTAAACAATAATTGTATATGCATATCTTGTATAAATGTACCCTCATACACTTTCTCGCCGTTTTAAATTACCGATTTACTGTCATCGCTATTCAATATGGTGACAACTATATACTGACACTACTGATACTTACAGGACTGCTGACATTTTCATCTACTATTCCATTGTTATATTTTACAGAATCGTGTTCCACATACTCATCGCAATAGAGCAATATGATATTACCATCTGATGATCATGTGTATATTGATATGTTATTCATTCCTGGTTTCCACTGCATACCAATCCATTACCCCCTCCCCTATTCCCGTAAATATTTTATTGTACATATTACTTCATTCTTGTAGCTAGTGTTGAAAAGCTGATTACTAAGCAGGTAACAAAGGGCCTGTTTCCAGTAATGTTAATTCTCCATAGGAGCCTGCCCCCGTATAATTTCTTATCTAGCTCAACTACTTTTTTTTTCATTTCCGAAGAATAATTTTACACCTTTCCGACACCCAGATTTCATAATTTCAGTGAAAATGTATTTTTATAAAGTTGTCAATTTCAGCATCAAAGACATAAGTTCGTAAATAAAAGAAGGTTATCTCGAAATTGTAATTCGCAACATAGTATAAATTTCTTTTGATAAATATTTCCAAAACATCGTGTTTATTCATAAAACAT